TAGTTTATCAGTAATCTATTCTGGTGTTTCTCAACTTTAAGATATTTCGACTTCAACTCCCAGAATCCCCCAGCCAGTATTCATTACTTTCATAAATGGATATCTTTCAAATGTTACTTTCTCATTTAGATTTTCCAAAATGTCCTCAATTATAGAAAAGAGAATCATTCCCTTAAAACACACACACACACACACACACTGAAGTTAGAATAAGAATGTATTGCCTTTCAGCATGACAGATTCTGCTCTCATTTGAGGCAACACAGATCCCTTTTAATTCTGGGTCAGTGAAGCTTTGAATACAGCCAACTATTTTATTGGCATTCCAATCTGGAGCATCTTTCTTTCCTAGTGGCAATTCTGGAGCTTAGCCTTTTAGTTTCAGTACTCACAAGAGTAGCTTCTACTTCATTAGGAAATAAGACTGGTAGAGGCATTAAATCTGGCATTTATTTCTTATATTTAGCTCTTCAGGGAACCTTTAGCATGATTTAGGAGGCACAAAAGAGTCTCTATGACACAATAGCTGTTTTAGAAGCAGCAAGATACCATTGCTTTGCTAAAAGAAGAGAAAGGTAGTACATGACTACGACCAAACAATGAAAATATGATTAATAATCTTTCTAAAAGAAAGCATTGGAACACAGCAATATTTTAAAATTCATATACCTGCTACTATATTTATAGTTGCAGCCCAAAAATCTTTACCTGGCAACAAGTCCCACTATTCTAAAAGATTCTATAAAATATTCTGTAAATTCAGTATGACTTACTTCTCAGTATGCATGCATATTAGAATGTGTTTTCTGATGCTTGAGAATACAAGTATTTTTAACAGCTTGTTAACAATTAAGTTCTTAAGTAGACCAATTGGTTTTTTGTTATCCGAAAAGTGGACAAAATTCAAGCTTCATAGAATTTCTCCAAAGGAGTGGCAATATTAAATGCGAGGAAGTGGAGCTGTCATTCTTAGGAAGTAAGCTATTATCAGCATTATTTTTGGTATGCACACTCCTTAGTTGTCAAGATAAATACACCTGGGACAATGGATCATGAGGCTATGGTAAGGATGCATACATGTACTATCCCTAATCAAGTAGAACAACAGACTGACGTTGCAGTATTATTGACAACCACTTGTTAATTCTAGCTAAAGATTTGTTGGAAAAATGGTGAAACAGTAGAAAAAGAGAGTCAGCATGCATATTGTACTGAACAGAGATAATGGATGGTATCAAATTATGGATATCTGAATATATTCATGAAATTTATAAGAAAGCATTACATATGTGAACTGGGGTTTCCTCCGAACCAATTTTTGATATGTACTACATGTTCTTTCAACTGTCTACAACAGTAGAGTTGTCACATAATAACTTTAAATGCTTTCAGATTTATTCATATAATTTTAATTCAATATAATTAACATCAACTATTTTAAGAAGCTCAATTTTCGTACTGATAAGAGAAGCTTAGAATTTAATTAGTAAAGCTATTTCAAGCATAATCACTATGCTATGAAATCATTATCCCTCTAAAAGAGTATTCTGAAAACACCTGCTAAGATTTTTAGGAGGAAAATTGTTTTTACTCTCAAATCAGTTTTGAAAGCACAAGGATGGAAACATCTTAAACTGAGTTATCTAGATAGATCAAAACGAAGATCAGATGTTCATAGGAATTCCTAGTAGAAGAGATGGGACAGTCCTGGAGTATGAGATCTTTCAATTAGTTTATACAGGATCTTAGAAAGGAAATAACAGCACTGTTAAAGCTTTGAAAATAAATTTTTTGGACAACACTTCTTCCAATTTAAAGAGCACTTTCATATGCACACTTTAAAGTTCTTCATACATACCACTTTGTAGACCTCACAACAACTCTGCAAGGTGATAGTGATTACAATGTTTATATGTGTTTATGTTGCTTTCCTACTTCATGAGTCTCTAGCTGAGGCAACACTTGAACTAGAAATTTTCTGGTCCACAATTCACACTTCTAGCTGTATAATAGCTTTCAAATAATTTAACCAGGGATTGGCAAAATGTCGCCCTCCAGATATTGCTGGAATGCAGTTATTATCATCATTCATCACTGGGTCTGTTGGTAAAGACTGACAGGAGATGAAGTTTAACCATATATGGAGGTCCACATGTTGTCCCTCCTTGGGTTGTCTCTTAGAAAAAATGACTTGCTCAATGTCAGGCAGCATATAAATTTAATAAATTATTAATCTTCACAGTTGGACAGAAGTTCAGAGAAGTTCACAGTTGGACAGAATTCAGGTTTTCCTGGTTTTTGCCCAATATTATCCATTAAGCGTCTCACAAGTTTTTTTTTTTCCTTTAAGGAAATGCCAAATGAAATTCCTTTAGTCTAATCTCTACTTGTTTTTAATACATGAAGAAGGTTGCTGAATCACACCAAAATTCTATCTTGCTCTCCACAGAAATCAATCAGATATTTGCAGGAAGCCCTAAGTCAAGATAGGAATAAAACACCTCTCTTCCATTATTCTTTCCCTGTAATTGAACTGTCAGAAATACACAGTTTTGCTGTGTATTTATTTCTGCATAATATTAATAAGCCATTTATTTTCCTCTATTTCTCTACCATTATCTTTTAAGAAGATAAGGAATATATATAAAGGATAACACATTGGGAAAAGGTTGTAAAATATGGAAGTTGCCATTTTTGTGGATGCAGACAGCAGAAAAGAAAGAGTTACAATACTAAGAACAAGAAATATGGGGATGAGCATCAATATGTGAAATCTACTTTAATGATACAGTTTAGGCATTCAGGTTTGTTCCAAGTGCACTTTGTGCAGAATGGGACCTTATTTACTTATGTTCTTGTAACATCTTCAAAGAAGAGGACAGACTATGTCTTCAGGTACTCCACAGACTCAATTTCCCAAGGGGGAATTTGTATTGGAATGTATACATTACCTCAATGTGTACCATACAACTTTTTAACAATAATTTGCAGGATAGCATGATATGAGTTAACTGGTCATGCAACAATATAATACCATATCACCAATACTGAACAGATGAATGTTCCCCAACTGGCATTCACCAAGGCTGAGAAATTCATGTTGCATAATCCCAAAGGTCATACATGCCCAGGAATGTTAATACTTGATGTCTGGGGGGGGACTGGATTGAAGAAGGATTGGAAAAAACTAAAAACTGTTTTATTAACAAGCTTTATGTAGGACGCATGTTCAAGGTCTATTCCAGATTTTGTCTTTTAAACCATCCTTTAAATAATACAAAATATAACTTAAATAATCACAACATGCCTTCAAAAGGTATATCACTGAAAAATAAACAGATATACATCGTAAGTAGCTTGGACTTGTACAAAAAATAAAGGTGGTATATAAATCTAATAAATAAACACATGACAATTTCTATTGTACAACTAGCTTTTCTAATGAGGATTCTTCAGTTACCTGATATTCCAAAATCCTTACAAGCTACATTTCCAATATACATGCTATTTTGTAAATAACTTGCAAATAAATGTGTATTTCAAAGCTTAGTTTTTACTTTTTTTTTCTTTTTAACTTATATATTACCATTAGCCAAATGAGGCATCATCTATTCTAAAGAGTTGGCACAAATATAACAAATTAATGAGAAGGAGGAAAGTAACTAAACATACCAGACTTAATGTAAAATTAATAATTTCACTATATTTGGTACAGGACCATACATTGCAGGTTCACCATCATCGGATTACAGTAGTTAAATGTCATCTTTGCTAAACATAGCCAATTATTGTTTAGTAAACAAATCAGAGTTGAACAAGTCAAGATTTTTACCTCACTGTGAACCAAACTGCACTTGAGGGCAAAATCCAAAAGTACAATATTTACAAATCTGCCTCCAATAGCATTTACATCTAATACGTAAAGGCCAGTAGCCTCATAAACAATCACATATATACTTATTTAGATGCAAATCACACCGCATGCAATGGCACTAACTTCCAATTAACAAGGCACAGCATTTCAGTTTGAATTTTTGAAACACTGTGGCTATATTCACACCATAAACCACAGTCCGTTTTACTAATAAAGACCATCGGTAAAGCTGTAAATCCTTTATAAACTTCCTTGCTGGGTTCACACCACGCACTAACTCAACAGCCACAGCAGTTTTGCTTAGCGGGTTGTCCCCCGCCCCCAGCCTCTGTAAGACTTCTTACCACCTACTTATAACATGCTGAACGTTCAGCAGACGAAGATCTGAACAGAAATATTCCACCTTTATTATTCATGGTCAACAGGAGCAGCGAAGGGCTGAAAGAAGTTTCTATCTACAGGGACTCGTTTCAGCCCACTTTTTAATGGCTGTTCCCCCCCCAATGCAACGTTATCCTTTAGCAACACCCAACAAATTAAAACCCTATTCCCTAATACTTCTGTTGGGGGGGGGAACCTTTACGGGGTTATATTTACGTTGAAGGACTCCTCGCTGCGACGCGGAAAAGAAAACCAGATCTTTCCCTTCTAAGCCTTTAACTCTCCCCCCCAACTTTGCCCAGCGTTTTACTTTTGAGGTTCTAAAGAGGAACCTCGGGGATCTTGAAACTCGGGGCGCGCACCACAACTTCTTCCTAGGGGGAAGAGGAGATCCGACTCACCTTTCCTCTCCTCCGCCTCCCAGTCCTGCGAAGCCGCCATGCCGGCAAGCCATAACACAGCAACGGCTATTTTGCCCCAAAGCCCCTCCCCCCAGCCTTGGACTGGCGCCTGCACCAATAGGAAACGGCGAGGCGTCTCCCTTCCCCCCAGCTCCCCCTCTTCCCTGGCCCAAAGCATGTCGGGAGCGGGGCGTCTTTTGGTTCACCAGCGGGCTCCGCAAAGAAGAGCTGCATGGAAGATGGGCGTGTCTTCCCGGGGCGGCTGGTCAGCAAAAGACTCCGTTTCCCAGCATGCAGTGGGCCCCCTGAAGGTTCGGTGGGGCGGAGACGGAGCTCGCCGTGACTGTCCCAGAGCGCGAGCTGGTTTAGTCAATCAGAACAATGACTTCGCCGCTGGAGGCTGCGGAGCGAAGCTGAGCCGCGCGCAACGAGCAGTCGCGGCTGTAGTAGTAGCGCTGGCCGCTGGGCAAGGGGGAGGGAGTTGCTGGCAACGGAGGCAGCTGCTGCTGTTTTCTGAGCTGGAGAGGAGCTGCAGCTGTTTCTGGTATTGTTTGCAAAAAGGGGACCAAAAGGCGCACTCTTGAGCATGTGGATTCCTACAGAGCACGAGAAATACGGAGTCGGTGAGTGACATCTCCCTTTGGCACTTGCTGCCTCTCTGTCCTCTCTCTGCCGTCCCCGGGGCGCTTCCGTGGAGCTTGGGAAATAAACCAGAGAGGAATCTCGGCTCGTACACGCTTTACCCTTTGCTCCCGCACCGTTTCCTACCTTTGATCTGGGCAATTCTGCATTTCTCTCATGCCCTGTCCGGGGGGATGTTTGTTTAGGGTTTCGAGAGAAAGAGATTGTACTGGTTTCGCCGTCGCTGCCTCGCAGCTTCTGCTCCTCCTCGCTTTTTGCCTCCCTCGTCCCCGAAGTGTCGTTTGGACAGCTTTGGGATTTAAAAATGTGGAATGAAGAAAAAGGATGAGGGATTATTTATTTATTCATTTGCAAGAGTGGTTGCCATTTGTCGTGGGAAGAGAGCGGTGGCTTCTTTGAATACTGTGTTGGACGCGCTTTTAGCCGCGTATCCGATTAAGCAGCATCTTTCAAAGGCGGGTGGCAGGTCCACTCAGTCCGCGTCCGGAAAAAGCAGTCTAAGCACTGTCGCGATGCTTTCAAAAATGTGTAGTTCGGGCTGTCGAGTGTCAATACAACTTAAAACTGCCACCTCCTTTGTAAATCGTGAGCAGCACCGAGGTACGCGTGAATATGATGTGTGTTTAGTTTGAAATTGGATAGTAGCCTACTTCTAGTGCCGGTGATGTTTTTGTTCTCCTGCTTGTTCGGATACAAAAGTGCTTGCATTACACAAGAAAATAGACTGAGTATTATCAAGGAAGTTATAGCGTGGGGCAGAGGAAAAGCTGTTTCCATCTCCTCCACTCTACAAAAGGTGAACAACAAAGGACATTAGATGTTGACTGATGAATGTGGAATTTCGCATCCTTCTCTCCTCCCCCATCCGCTGAATATTAAAAAAAAACCAAAACACTTACTCTGTTTATTCTTTTCCTAGTCTGATACTTAAGAAACTGTCAAAAATTAATAATAATACCAAATATATAACTAAGCCTCTCTTTTTAAGCTGGGCTTTGAGGCAGTGATAGAAACATTTCCTACCATGTACTTTTTTTTATTCAGATAAAAAATAATCAAAAGATCAAGAACATCTGCATTGATTTTCCTTCATAAACTGGTTTTTGCTAGGTTCTTTTACCATTTCTGACTTGGGATTGGGGTAGAGCTACTTTTCAGCTGGTAAGCAAGTGGTGAACCCCAAGATTATTTGCATGGAAGGAAGCCCTACCACCTGAATTAGCTTCTTGGTAAATATATATAGGATTGAATTAGAAGAATGCTTCTTGGTTTTTAAGTCTTCTGAAGAAAAAGAAAGCATTAATACTTGCACAAAATAGCTAGTGAAGGGCATGACAAAAATGTTATGAATTTGAGATATGCCACATTGCTGAACAGTGTATAAAATAAAACAGTTCTAACAAAAAAGGAAATACTTCCCTGTATGAGATCACGTTATGCGTAATAGTTAGTTGGAGGTAAGACAGGTCTCATACAACTAGCATACTTAAAATTGATCCCAGATGCTGTTTCTGACCCAAATATTAACTTACAAAGATCATTGATGGGATTTAATTTCTTGATTTCTGGCTAGATATTGATTAGGCCTACTGCAACTATGCACATGGATTTCAAAACCACTCTAATATTTAATGGAATGGCATGTGCGATATTACTGGTCAAATATTTCAAGGTATAATACTTTCTTGCTTTTTTAAGACTCTTGTTTAAGAAAGGGAAAATGAAGACATAAAGCGTGTCAGTAAATAACATTTTTATTTATTCCACAGTTGTTTTAGCTGCATGGAAAGGAAAAGAAATACTATTCAAAAGTAACATGCTGAACTATAACAATTCACTTACAACATTCATCTGGCTGACTATGTTTAATGCTTTGGATGTTGTTCCCTCTCTAAATATAATTGTTTTTTCTATAGAAGAGTATCAGTTTTGCTAAACTATTACCAATTTAATGTAGGAGTGTAACATGCCCTTTTGTGATATATGAATAAAGTATTTTTGAACTTGCCTTTAAGTATGGGTCTCTTTCTTGTTTTGTTCTAATCATGAGCCATTGTGTTGCACTGAGAATTAGAAGCCTATTGTCACTGACTGATGGGTGTAAATGTGCTGTCTTATGAATAGCTTTAGTGTTGAGTCAGTGTTCTTTTGGGGAGATTGCTTGTATGCTTGCTAGGGGACCCCTAAGGAAATAATTCATTAGCACAGTCAATCACCAGAGTGGGTTTCATCTTAAAATTAGTTGTGGAACCTAAGTAAAATCCCTGGGATGCCAATGGCTTACCAGTCTGGATAACAACAAGATATCTGCAGGGGAATGTTGTTCAGCCTTTCTGCATTTAAACTCATGATTGTTGGATAAGGCTTTATTGCTTTAGATGTAATTGTTTCAGTACACCATAGGCTTGCCACTAGCCTTCTGCTTGCTGCTTGGGATGCAGTCTGATTTTATGTGTATTTGTTGAGAACTAATTCCTGCTAAGGTTGAGAGGGTTTACTTCCAAATAATTGTATGTTAGAGAGCAGCACTACCACACAGTCTTAGCAGATTTGCTGAAAAGTTCAATGGCACTTGGATTTAAAAAAAAACAAAAAACACTATGCAGGACTGTAGTTATGCAGCCTGTCTTTATGCAAAGTTGGGCAAAGCCTTTTAAGTATTGATTTCACCTCACTCTGCATAGAAAGACAGACTTACGACTAATTTTATACACATTGATTTAGAAGTACTGTAAGTTCTTTCAGCTAAAGTTGAGTAGTTACTTCAAAGCTCAGGGACTGCCAACACTGCCCCCTCCTTCTGAATCATTCTAAAAATACAGATCTTCACATTGGTGGAGGTGGCGCCATCAGTCAATGTGGCCTAGGGGTGTCATATACCCTTGAGCTATCATTGAGTCCCAGTATATTCAATTGTAGCCTTATTCTGTTATCCTAAACTTACTTTACTAGGGCATAAATCCGTTAGATACATAGGCACCTATGTCTGATGAGATTACAGACCCTAAATGTCTTTACATATAAACAGTAATCTAATTATATTTCTGAGTAAATAAACTTGATTAAATTAATTGAACTATTAATTTGTTAACCACAGTGTTGCAAAAGGACGGTTTCTTTAATCTTTGAAATTAGGTTAGCATGAAATACTGGGCTTTGCACAGAGTGAACCAATTTTAAGGTTTATATTAGCCACTGGCACTTGGATTGAACAGCAAAATGGATTAAAATTATGCTATTGTAGTATTTACTATACATGGTGCTTTATTCCTCCCTGCCTTGGTAATGTGTTTAACAAGAAGCTCAACCCATTAGAGGGATAAGGTGTTTCTAGAACCTACCAGTACTCTCAGGAGATTTAACATCAACCTGTATTAATTTCTTTAATATGTAAACAAAATGGAAGCTAACGTCAGCTCAGGTATTATTATAAACCTGCTTCATTTAGTAATGAACACGACTGCTAGGGATGCTCACAATGTTTGCATTAAAGTGCTTTGAATTCAAAATACCCTGCTACAAGCAGAAAATGGGCTTATTTGAGCCTTTTAGAAATATCTTGAACTCAAAACTGAACAATTCACACACTTTTTCAAGTTTGGAGCAGTTCCAAATGCTCAAACAGCCTGTTTTGCACTTGTAGCAGCTGTTTAATGGGCAGAATGGAGTTTTTTGAATTCAAGATGGTTCAATTCAAAACAATTTACACACTACTAATGAGCACTGCATGTACTCTATTGTTATGTATTAAGGTCTATGGTTTAGCTGAAAGTCAGCAAATGAGTTAATTGAGAAATGTATTTCTCCTGAAATGAACAATTGAGTGGTCTAGTTGAATTTGGAGTTAACCAATCTGATATCACTGCTGTTTAAACTTCTGCATATTTTGGTTAGTGGAATGGCTCAAACTTTTAATCAAAGGTTAAAGTGGGCATAGAACAACTATACTCAATATGAGGCCCTTAATGGTTTATGTCACTCTGGAGGAGATATCCAGTGGGGCACCAGAGTTTTGTTCTGGGCACGGTATGCCAACATTTACATAAATAATGGCAAATAGCCATTCCCTCTAAATGACTTAGAGAAGAGAAAGGTTGCTTAACAGATTGACGTATGCCACAAAGATGGTGGGAGATTGTTAATACTTCAGAAGAGAGGCTCAAGGTTGATTTGAACACTGGACCCTATCCAACCCTCTCTAGAAAAGAACAGCTCCCAAAGCAAAGTCTGAGACATCAGTTTGCACAACAAAGAGGTGGCTGAGATCCAGATGTCTGAGTAGCAGCTGGGATGAAAAGAGACTTTTCAAGCCCAAAGGCAGTTTCCTCTTGGGGTGACCATTTAAATTGGCATCCTATTTTCACAAGTTAAATTAGTCTTGTGCTATGTGCAAAATCAGGGGTGAATTTTCTATAAAAGTTGGCAAAACCCAGAATGTTGGAGATCTTTAAAATTTCTAGGTGTTGGCCATGTAAGTAGAGACTGCATTTTTTGAAGGATCCATCTGCACGCTTTCTGTAGAGATCTTTTAAACCAGTGGTCTAATTGAAGAAGGCACATTTTTCCAACTTACTGTAGAGTTTGTTTTTGCATAGGCACTGTAATACATTCCTGTTATGAGTAGAATATAGTGAAAGATCTTCTGAAAAAATCAAAATGTCATCCAGATGAATGACTAAGTACTTGTCCAAAATATATGAGAATATCTCATTCATAAATCTGGAGAATTTGGCAAGCATGTAATTAAACCAAAGTGCATTACTATGTATTCAAATTTACCATACTAAGTATCAGTCTGTTAAGTATTCATGTCCCTCTTCACCTGAATCAAATTATAAACTCCTCTCAAGTCCAGTTCAGTGAAATACATATCTCCTGAAGGCAAGTCTGAAAGAAGAAGCAGTGATAGTGGTCCCTAATGGTCACAGAGTGCAGAATCCTAGCAACATGGATAGGTTTTGAAGAATTGTCTTTCCTTTTA